TTTCAAATTTCTCCGGCGGAATGTGAACGAAGAACATTTGATGCGCTTTCAGAGTAAAAAGTCCGTTTTCAAATTTCTCCGGTGTAGTGTGGACGGGGTCTTAATTACATTATATCAGTCCCACAAAAAAGAATTACCCTGAAACCTGCATGATAAATTTTAATTACCAGTTGATTTCCGTTGCGCAATTTTGATTTGACTTCTTTCCTTATTTCGGGTTTTCTAGCCCTTAAATTTCTTTCGAACATTGCCGATCGACTTAGAATACTTTCAAAATCCCCAAAAATCTGATGTTCAATTTGTAAAATCCCCGCCAAGTTGTAGCAAAGTTGGCAGCGCGCGAAAACCAGGAAAATTGGTGAGCATGGCCTTTGGTCAACAGCTTCCTTCCTATGAACGCGCGGGGAAATGGCGCAGAGGTACAGCGGTTACAGTGTTCGTCTTAGTATTATACGATCTGAACGCTAGGCAAATAACAGGAACCTACATGTATGGTACTTTTGAGCTTTCTGTCGACTACATGCTGAAAGTGTCTCGAACTAGTTCAGCTTGCCAGATCTAATTGCACGTCATGAGAACGCGACCTAGTTTTAATTGTTTAGAGTCGTTTCTCCCTACCATTAACCTAAAACTCTCTTCATAATTCGTCCTCAGTGATAAGGGACAAATCAGATGTCTCGATGCGCAAATGATTATTTAGCGGGAATAACTCTCACCCAAGAAAGCTTGCCATGAGTGATTCTTCTACCGGGACCTAAAAAAGTCCCGAGAACTCACCGGGTCCAAATATTTTCGCGCGCACAATTTGATTGAAACTTTCGGAAACGGGCCCCTATTGTTATACAAAATACTAAGGCGGCAAGCTCAAAGACCTTCCTCAAATAGGAAAGATGGCGGCAAAACGTTGCCAACAAAATCACTGAGTTCCGCGTGTAGCTTTGTCTTCGCGCTGACATTACGCGAATCATATACAATTTGCACTAGGTCGTTATCAGAATTTAAATTCTAAACAAGTGCACAGTTTAATTTTTACTCACGATTCCCTTCCTCTGTATTGCCTTGCGGGGTCTCTACTATTGTGGAGCTTGTGAACCTCCTATTACACAAATTTGAATACTGTCGCAATCAGTGCAACATTATAAACTTCCATTTTCACGGTAAAGCAAATAACTCACGTCACAAACAGGTTGTGTTCAGCCTCTCATGAAAACTCCACAAACTAAATGAAATCTAAGTGACCTAAATTGAGCGGTACTTACATGAAAATTTCTCACCTCGATCAACAGAACGACTGAAAAGTCAGAGCAAGCAGCTTCCCTTAAGCTTTTAAAATTAAAAAGTTAACCAGCGACTGACATGTATTCATTAAGCTTAACTGAGATTTTGAAAGATATCATGTAACTGATGTAAATGAGAAAATTACCATCAGAGTGTAGTCTTCAATGAGAGAAATATACATCGTTGTTCGATCGTTTCAAAATGACGCCAACTTAGCAGAGGGTATCACAACAGAAATCCAAGGTTTTTCAGTCAAAATTTTTAAACTCACCTGAACAAGAAGAGACGATTTTGTTCTCTTTCTCTTTTTCCCTCGTCCATCAGAACCACTCTCGGTTCCATCTACGGGATGGGAAGAAAGCTTTTCTAACTTGCCGTCTAGGATTTTTACTTTTTCGGCCAGTTCTTCAACCCGCTCGTTTGAGCTTCGCACGGTCTGAAGCAGTTCCTCGATCGACCTCTGGCAGGCAGCAAGGCCAGTGATCAACTGCTGCGCTGTTTCTTGTGAGGATAGGGGCGTAGATCCGCTGGATCGGACAGAAGATGACGACCGACCAACTGAACTAATTCGCGAACTCGAACCGCTAGAAGGGGATGGAGTCCGTGATATTGAATAAAAATTGCTTGGTGCACTACCGCGACTTTGTGCGCTGGAATTCCGATCCATGTTTTTGAAATCAGATGAATGAACACTATTTGAACCGCGGACGAATTTGCATAAGTCGAGAGAAACAGTCTGAATCAGCGAACCTCGTGAACTGAAAATTCCCGCCACAAAGAACCAACAAATAACCACGAAGCGGCTGCGTGAGCTTCGCAACTAAGCCTTTTTTCAACGAGTTAGCATAGTTTTCCAGTCACGTTAGTGGAGGAAATGAATTCTGTTTTACCTGCAAATGAGAAAATTGTGTATTGTTCGAAGAGGAAGAAGAAAAGATTTTGTGATCACTACGATCGTCTGGTCTCGATCAGGACGTTTAATGCCCACAAGCGAAGGAAGACCGTCGATAATGCAAAAATTGGTAAGTCAGTGTGACTTTGAATGGTTGTTGTTTGCTTTTGTTTGGTCGGCTTTTCAAACTGTCTGTCGATGTTTTATTACTTTCATATTGAGGAACAACATCTTAATCTGTAGCTGTCTAATTTTATTTTTGATCTTAGATTACACAGATGAATTGCTTAGCCAAGATCTTCGAATTCACTCAGATTCAAGCGACCTGGATCTTGACTTTGATTTATCAAGCGATGAATGTTCTGAAGTTGCAAAATTTGCCGCTGAAAGTCTGGAACTTCAAGGTATATATTCATATATCTATTTACACCAAACTTTAATGTTATTCACCTTCAGAATTAACCTTCTTTGAAAGCAAAGTTTGGGTGAGATTAAAGTTTTGAGGGCTTGAAGTTAATTAGCTTATAAAGTACAGTTTTGTATTGCAGATGTTAGCCCGCTCCAGGATGGGGCTAAATTTAATTGCAAAACACCACTTTTTACATATCACAATTCAGCTA